GCAATCTACATGTACACATGCGTTGTCACACCGGAGAGAAGCCTTTTGCGTGCAGGTTTTGTGAAGCATCGTTCGCTACATCATCAAATCTTCGTGCTCATGAACGCAGGCACACAGGGGAAAGGCCCTACAAGTGCGAGACATGTAAAGCATCTTTCAGGAGGACGACATATCTTCGTAATCATGAACGTATTCATACTGGGGAAAGGCCCTACCAGTGCAAGTTATGCAGTGCGTCGTTCCGGCTGTTATCATTTCTACGTGCTCATGAACGCAGCACGCATTGAATTGTCCGTAGAGGAACAAAGCATGTAAATCGTATTCAACAGACCAAGAAACCGGCAAGAACCAAAAGGTAAACGTACAAGAAAATGGCATTTTTGTGGAAAAGTCAACTGTGTGTACTCTTGGCCAAACTCATACAGAAGAAAAACTTCATACATGCAATATGTGCAAAAATCAGTCTCGTGCTCAAAGTTACTGTATGGACGTGCGCTTCACATACTGGTGTGAAATCCAGCAGACCAGCAGTGAGGTGGTTAATTTACCTGTAGAAACATTTAACTCATACGAAAACATTCATAAGAAAAATGATGATCGTTGTCTACATCACTGAGGTGGTGTTAGCCATGAATTTAAAAGTCAGGTCTCTGCCTTTGCTTGTGTCTGTTTTACGTCTCATTACTGCTAACTTTGCCCCATAAATACCAGTTCAGCAATACAGGTTCTAATGCTTACAGTGTAAAGTATGATGATGATTGTGTCAAGTGTCACGTAGGAGATGTGTAAAGCACACCTCTCACAGTATATCTCTGCGACCAACGACCATTATTTGCATTCTTCGACACATTCGCTCCCAAGAATAACACCCGTAGTGATGTTTGTTTTTCTGTCAACGAAGCTAAAAACACAATATTTTTAATTCTAAGTAGTAAGGCCGAGCGAAGGAGTCGTTCGCTTAGGTTATTATTGCACCCCGGTATGCGGTTTGCGTTTCGATATGCGATATGCGAGACCAAAACGAGAACGCTGCCGTCAGCAAAACTCGTTATCCATAATTATTATCAGTGCTCCTTTCGTCAGATTGTATTTTGCTTTCCAAATTAGCTCTGTCATGCCAACGAGAAACCATACGAAAGAAATATAGAACTCGGATTGTGAGCCAATATAGTTATGATGAAGAAAGGAAAAGGACAAAATGTTACGAGTTATGACATTTTGTCGCACTTGCTGACTGTATAAAATCTGGTTACGTTGGTGGGCAGTCTGTCATAACTCGTAACATTTTGTCCTTTTCCTTTCTTCATCATAAAGAAATATAGGCAAATTCTTGTGAGACAGATTTTGTCCGATGCTCTTACTAGTCTCGTCATTTTCATAAGGTATGCGAGAAATCATTCAGGCACTCATCAAATCTCAAAAATGCGTGAACGTCACTACAAACAACACTTATAAGTCTAGTGCCCTAAAAATTGCCATACTCCCAAATGTAAAGCCTTTATGTAGGGAACGTGAGCACCATTTTGAAAATACAAATCATAATCCTATTTCGATTTCGCTTAATCTTTTTGCCTGCAAATCATAGCTCATCATTGAAGGTAGATGTTGAATGATTAAAATATAGACCGAACTGCAATTATATAAGGTTTCCACATCCAAAACTGGCATAGCTGAGGTGATACCGCGGGAAAGGGAAAATGTGAAGTACTGTTGAGACGCATGGGACATGCATGCAGCGTCAGAAATTCGGCGCGGAAAATCAATCTATATGACTAATAATAATAATAATAATAATAATACCACAGCACGCGTATACAGGCCAAAGAACAATGCATGAGAATACACTGAAACTAAGCCAAATCCGCTTCTGTCTCCAGTCAACAAAAAACTCATCCATAAACAATGTCTGATCTCCATTTCGACTTGTCTGCAGCAAATGCTCGTGCTCCTTCAAGGTCGCTGTCATTCTTCAAAGGAATGTCGTGCCCTGCCAGGTCCTTCATGATGGTGGTAGGGAGAGTAGCCGCGGGACGGCCCCTTCGTCCACGTGACCCCACTTGAAAATAGCAGGACATCGCAAAGCAAGGGGGTGACTGCTCACTCATCCTCAGCACATGGCCAGTGAGGCTACGGCGTCGCTTGGCAACAAGCTCCGACAGTGGCTCAATGCAGGAATAACGTGCCAGAATCAGTGTGCTGCGTATCTAGTGAGAGTCTGTGTATCGCACTTGTCCGAGCGCCATGAAGGCCAGCAAACGCACCTCAAGACTCGCCGACGTCGACAGCCACAGCAGCCCCTGGGGCATGACACTGTACTGGTCGCCCGTCGCACCAAGACGCTTGGCAGTCACTAGGCTTCATGCCACCAATGTTGTCCACAAGCTACCTTGTTATCTGCCCATCACCCACTGCCGCTGACACGCTGGGAGGCCACGCGAAATTCGCCCAGTATATCGTCGTCAGAGTTGTGTCGACTGTGCAATAACGCTGGTAGAAACAAGCAGTTGGTCGTATGGTATTGCGTCCTCCGGGTTGTCCCTTGACTCGTCTTGTCCCTCTTCTTGCTCTGACGCTAACGGCGCACGTATCATATTATTACAGGGTGCGACAGAGCTCTCGGCCATTGAAGAAAAAGTTGAGTCCCCTCCACCATTACACTGCGCTATTTAGCCGACTAGACCCTCCTGCACACAACCGTCGCCACTGCGAGGACACTTCCGTAGACGATATTGATAAACTCCTTCAGACAGCTGTTTCGCTAATACATAGCTCATCAGTGAAGGTAGACGTTGAATGATTAAAATACAGACCAAACTGCTATTATATAAGGTTTCCACATACAAAACTGGCATAGCTGAGGTGATACCCCGGGAAGAGGAAAGTGTGAAGTACTGTTGACGCGCATGGAACATGCATGCAACGTCAGAAATTCGGTGCGGAAAATGAACAACTATGAATATCAATGCAGAAAATAACGTGCCAGAATCAGTGTACTGTGTAGCTAGAGAGAGTCTGTGTATCGCACTTGTCCGAGCGCCATGAAGGCCAGCAAACGTACTTCACAGTAAGGAATCAGGGAAAATTGTCGTGTAAGTCGTGACAGTCTAGAAAACAATGTGCTAACGTTCCATCCTGTTGGAGAAACATCACTCATTCAACCGGAAGCGATAAATCGATGCTTGGCTTTATTCTGTGGTTGCCAGGTACTCGCTTACACTACTGTGTGTGACAAATGCACGTGTGACAAATTTTAGCAATCGTTTTAGTCTCGTAATTTTCGAGGGTTTTACGAAATTTAAAAGATATTAGAACGACTACGATTTGCAGTATACCGAACACGAAAGATGAATCCATCCTGCTACAACGCCACCAAGAGAGGATAGATTATCAATAAACACACATCCTTCTATGGATGAATGAAGGCATAATGAAAATTGGGAAACATAAAAATCTAGGGCAATGCACAGACGCCTAACATCTACATGAGACACTACGGCCCTGCAATAGGGATGACTAGCGGGTGGTGGAACCAATCCCCAAATTATGCCTTTCAGGCTGCCACGAAAAATGTGTTCTTTATGCTCATAACATGAAATTATGTTTGCAAACTGTGGCCATGCACAGGAACTTCTAGCAGACAATCGAGTCTTTACACACGCTCTAACAATGCTCTAAAGTATGATACAGCAATGAGAGTATTCATACCACTAACCGCGGGGCTTATCTAGCAAGGAGGTTTACATATGACAGGGTATAGGAAAAGACTTGTAATACAACATGATACCGTCAAAACTAGGCTCAAAATATTTTTAGTAGATTGAAAAAATGGACTAGGCCAAGCGTATGACAGGCTTGAATTACATGTTTATGACTGTGTCTGTAAATGCATGTAGCAAGCAGGCCACCTGAGGTCTGCTGTTCAAGTAGCAAAGCTGAGTCAGCCGGGATTGTATTGCAGCATCAAGGAAAGCTAGTTTTGTCCTCCTGGTTGTAGCGCACTAGCGAAAAATGGTTAAAAGAAATTCTTGAAGTAATTCTCACTTTGGCGATTTCAGCTATACTTTTGGAATTTTTTATCGCTCCCTGCGAGAGGGTTTGCACTTATCCTGCCGACTTGAATATAACTGGACTGACTCACGACCGTGATCTTTAGCACTCGAGACGTCGCTCAAACCTTCCAATCTACAAACCTGAAAGAAAACAGTACTCACTGCTCGATGCACAGTATTTCGAAAAAGTTCAAAGATCATCAATAAAAGTAATGCTCCGAGAGCACTGCATTATGCAGAGCTATCCAATGCTAAGAGTGAAACTCCAGCGTTTCCGGCGCGACAAACCCCTAGCGAACTCCAGACGCTAGTGTGAGTCATTGTGGCTCATGGAGGTGCTGAAAAAAGGCGAAGGCCATAGGCTGTTCATAACGTTGCCCACAACCCGTCTAAATCGCGAGACTCCATTAGGAAAAAGATGTGAAAAAGTGGTTGATTCACTTTCGCTCCAAAGGTAGGAGCTAGCTAGCTCCCACGTAGGGTTCGACACGCAAGTCCGGACGCATCGTGTGAATGTAGTGAGTTTGATTGCTTATATCGCATTAGAATTTTCCCTCCATATCTGTGCAAAGAACATTCTGAGGGTGATAAGGGAAAGTGTAAACACAGGTAATTTATTACTCAACTATAATCACTTTGCGAGGAGTAGGCATGGGTTACCCTGTGTCAGGAGTTCGCGAAAATAGTCACGCCGCCCTAACTCTATGGATATGTAATGATGGATCCCTGGATTTGTAAGGTCATCAGCGCCTGCAACAGAAGGACATCTTTAACGTGTAACACATCGTTTAGTGGTACCGTCAAATCAAGTACACGATTAGGATAATAACACCTCGATGCACTACGGTGTGAGAAAAGGTCGCACAATTTGTCACGCGGGCTGCTACTGACTTACCATTGAAGTACCATGCGCAATCATCAAGATAATTTAATTTCCCTAAAGTTCTGAATCTGTCTTGTACTCTAGTTTGGTTGGTGTTCTTGTTCCGCAAGAAACTTAGAGTTCATCCCTTACTGCACTGCAGTGTTTGAGTGAGAAATGGAAGACTTTGAGGAGTCGATGTCTGACTGCAGTGTGGATTCTAATGAGCTGCCACCAATGCCGCCATTAATCAGGATAAGAAGGAATATATCTGGGGATTCATACGCGTATGGCACACTTTCTGCTCAGACATCTTCTGACTCACCTATCACAGGCATTGATCAACCTATGCAGAATGCGGCAGCAGAGGTATTGCCCGACCTAGATCCAGAGGACACACTCTCTCTCCACAAAGAAGATATGCCCGGGGCACCGCCTGCACCGCCTTTGACAAGATCAACGAAGATAGAATGTAGTTCAGCAAGTTCTTTAGATCATGATGCATGTTGTGTATCATCCCTAAGTAAACGTGGACAAGTCTGGCACGATGAAAAGAAGCACACTCGGCCTGGAAAATCTTTTGAATTGGGACACGGAGACAACTCGCCGTCCAAGTACAGTGGTAATGTCGACCCGAAACAGCCTGTGCAACTAGAACTGAAATCTAATGCGAATACATCTTCCTCCAGTTATCCGTTTGAACACGGTAGACTTTCTGAAACGTGGAAACAGGAGACAACCGAAGAAGGGGATTCAATCGACATGCAAGGAGTTGGCGGACATGATATCAGACATCAGCCAGTTGGGTCTCAGTGTACCGCTATGGTTCCCGATCAAGGAAAACGTTCTACGAGTAAAACGCTACACAAGTGTCGAAAGTGTCCCAGACAGTCCAAGACAGCATCTGATCTTCGTCGTCATGACCGTGTTCATACTGGAGAGCGACCATTCAAGTGTGATGTATGCAGCAAACACTTCTCTCGGTCATGCACTCTAAAAGTACACAAACGTATTCACACCGGAGAGAAGCCTTTCGCGTGCAAAGTTTGTCAAGCATCATTCACGAAATCATCAGCTCTAAGTACCCATGAACGTGTTCACACTGGAATAAGGCCCTACAAGTGCGAGACATGTGAAGCATCGTTCAAGCAATCGTCAGATCTTCGTAGACATGAACGTACAGGTATTCATACTGGGGAGAGGCATCACAAGTGCAAGGTATGTGGTGCGTCGTTCCGCCGGTTGTCAACTCTACATGCTCATGAACGCAGCACGCATTGATTTGTTCATAGAGAAGCACGGCATGTGAATCGTATTTCTACAGACCAAGAAATGGGCAAGAGCCAGAAGGTTTACACACAAGAAAAAGCCATTTTGGGGAATAATCAACTGGGTGAACCCTTGTCCAAACTCATAAAGAAGACAAACTTCATACATGCAGTATGTGCAAACATCAGTCTCGTACTCAAAGTTACTGTATGGACATGCGCTTCACATACAGGTGGGAAATCCAGCAGTAAGGTGGTTACTTTACCTGTAGAAACATTTAATCCACACGAACACATTCATAAGAACGATGATGATTGTTGTCCATTTTACTGAGTTGGCGTTAGCCATGAACTTAAAAGTCATTTCTCTGCCAATAGCTGCAGGTCATTTTATAACCAGTCTCGCTGCTCATAGAACAAATTATATTTGCAGGTTTGTTTGTTTTTGTTTTACGTCTCATTACTGTCAACAACATTGAACAAACCAGCAAGGACTGCAAAAGAAGCCTGAGCGGCCCCAACAATTTCTCTTGTTCTGGGCAACTAGTGCACTAGAGGTTCACGAGTGAATCGATATCTTGACCTACAAGTAAAAAGAAGTAGGGCGGACACACCCATTCCCACAGCACTGCAAAACCCAACCGATTCCTTTTATGGACAAAGTTTCGGCAAATTTGCCATCATCGGGTACGAAATGGAACAATGATGCCATGCAGGTCGAAAGAAGCAGTTTCATGCCAAAGTCCTACCGCCAGAACAGCATACTGCCGCGCAAAAAGAGAAGTAGAATCAGTGGCAGAGGTGTAAGTGAGACATTTAACGCCAGGACTAAAACCTATCGTAAGAACAAATCCTACCGCCAAACGCAACATCATCTGGCGCCACAAGAATGACAGATGCAGCGAGTTGAGCTTCAAAGGTGTAGGTGAGATCTTCACCGCCGGAACCAAAGCATATTGTCTCATTCAGTAATTTTCACCTTCCTAACACCTGTAGTTCACACCTATGTCTTACACCTCGTGCATGCATATTGTCTCATTAATTTATTTTCACACCTATATCTTACACCTCGTGCATGCATAGTGCAAGAGGCATATTGTCTCATTAAGTAATTTTCACCTTCCTAATACCTGTAGTTCACATCTATGTCTTACACCTCGTGCATGCATACTGCAAGAGGCATATCAGTGAGTGAAGCTTCCCAAGTGTAAGTGACTCGTATTCAGGGATGACGGCTCTGTGGCTATTCCATTATAATGATTGTCCAATGCAGTTATTATCAAAAAAAGTAGTGCGAAGCCTCTTTTACGGGCAAAAAGAAACACAATGGATGATGAAAGAATAAGTTGAAATCATCCAAATAATTATTTGTTTTTTCTTCTATAGTTCCCATCCAGTGCTGGTGTTAACGTGGGGCCTCGTGTCGCGGATCTCGATGGCTTCACATAGTTTGCGGCGGGCTCTATCTGGCTCCCTGGCAACAACGGCAACTGCAGAGAACGCACTCTGACCACACACCAATCCCCTTTTGCAGGCACAGCAGCAACAACAAGCAATCGTATTGTCAAGGCACAGGGACAATGGGCGCTTACCATTACACGCATTTCGGTCAATTCTAGAAATAGTTATTGTTGATACACAATTCGATTACACAAAAAGTGACAAATTCCGTCGTTAGAATTGCTTTTATCCAATTCCGTCAAATCCGTCAATTCTGAAGAGAGGGCGGAATTTCTCTAATTCTGGCGCCAGAATTGCACACTTGATGTGTTACCGGTCTGGTCATGCATGACTCAAGTCAAGGAAGAGCCTCCCTGGTCCAGGACCCTGAACGGTGTGGCGCGAAAGCAGGGCTACAACTGCATGTAGTTGCTACTTTTGTCTTCCCGAAAAGCTAATTGCCGCTGTTGAGTTTCCGCTGGGAGCTGATTATTAGACCAGATCATTTTGGGTGGTCCTTTAGCACACGCGTTCAGCTTTATCAAAGCCCAATATGGGGGCTGTTAAGTGATGACGTCACAGTTCCTTCGATACGCATAGCAACGATCCCACTGGGTACAAACAAATGTAGCGTCCTCTCCACCGAACCAGTTGTCAGTGGCAACATATAGGAATCCTGTACTTGTCTTCGTTTCTAGTTTGCTGTATTTATTGAGTGTCTTGTTTTCTCGTTGTCCTTGATCTCGACGGTGTTGTCCTTCTCATTACCTTACTGAGACGTCTCTTGTGACTGTAGCCAGTGTCACGGAGGATTTTATTGACGTGACGAGGTAGACCGCTGAGATCGAGCGTGAAAAACATTAGTAGCTCCTGTAGAATGTTTTCTAGGATTGCGTATCCATGGTCAACAAAGCCAAGGTGTAAGACAGCATGAGAGACCGTGTAAACGATGTGAACTCCAAAAGGTAAGTTCCTGAACATGTGGAAAGATATGTGTATTTACATACTCTCTCTTCATCCATCGATTGCCGGTATGCATTTCATTTTTTTCTTCACAGATAATCTGCGCACATTTATTGTAATTGGAGAGTTACCATGTCAATCTAGAAAAGAATGTACAAACGTTCCGTCCTGTTGGAGTAACATTTCTCTTTCCACCTAAAACGATATATCCATGCTTGGGTTTAATCTGGAGCAGCAACGTACACGCTTACAGTACGTTGTGTGGCAAATGCGAGTGTGACACATCTTAGAAAACGGTTTAATCTCGTACGTTGCGAGCGCCTTACTAAATTTATGTATTAAATTATAAAGACGACGAATTACAGTATACCAAACACGAAGTATGAACCATGCTACAATGCCAACCGGAGAGGTAGATTATCAATAAACACGCATCCTTCTATGAATGAACCAAGGCATAATGAAAATTGGGAAACATATCCATCTAGGAGAATGCACAGACGCCTTACATCTACATGACACACCACGGCCCTGCAATAAGCATGGCCGGCGGATCTTGTTAGAAATCCCAAACTTATGCCTTTCAGGATGCCAACAAAAACGTCTTTAGTCTTTATGCTTGTTACATGAAATTATGCTTGCAAACTGTGGCCACGCACAGGAACTTTTAGCAGACAATCGTGCCTTTACCCACGCTCAAACAATGCTCTAATGTATGATACAGCAATGGGCATATTCGTACTAATAACCGTGGAGGCTCATCTAGCAAGGATGTATAAATACAACAGAGCATAGGAATGGACCTGCAACACAACAAGGTACGGTCGACACCGTCATCATGTCTTTCATGAATTACACAGTGGACTACACCAAGTGTATGACAGGCTTGAACTACATGTACAGGACTGTGTGTGTAAATACATGTAGGAAGGAGGCTACTTGATGTCTGCTGTTCAAGCAGCATTGCTGAGTCAGCCGGGATTGTACTGCAGCATGAAGGAAAGCTAGTTTTGTCCTCCAGGTTGTAGGACAAAAGCGCAAAGTAGTAAAATCCCAAATCAAATAACAAATCTTCAAGTAATTCTCAATTGTGCGACTTCAGCTATACTTTGGGAATTTTGTATCGCTCCCTATGAGAGAGTTGGCATTTTTTCTACCTACATGCATATAACCGGACTGACTCACGACTACGATCCAGAGCGCTGGAGAAGTCATTCAAACCGTCCAATCTAAAATTTTGAAAGAAAGCACCACTCCCTGCTCAATGCACAGTATTTTGAAAGAGCTCACAAATTATCGGATTTAGTAGGCTAATAAAAGCTTTGCTCCGAGAGCCATGCACGACCCAGAGCTATCCAAGACTGACAGTGGCAGTACGCGTCCAGCGCGACAAACACCCAGCGAACTTCCAGCAGCAGTGTGAGTTATTGTGGCTTATGGAGGTGCAGAAAAATGGCGAGGGCCGTTGGCCCTTCACAACGTTGCCTACAACCCGTCAACATTTCGAGGCTGCATTTTGAACAAACGTGTGAAGAAGTGGTTGATGCACTTCGGCGATGCTCCTGGAATCGGATTTCGCTACCAAGGTAGGAGCTAGCTAGCTCCCACGTAGAGTGCGACACACAAGTCGGAACACACTGTGTGAATGTAGTGTGTTTGATTGCTTTTACCGCATTAGGATTGTACTTCCATATATGTGCAAAGAACATACTGAGGGTGGGAAGGGGAAGTGGAAACATAGGTAATGTTTTACCAAACTAAAATCACTTTGTGCGAAGTAAGCATGGGTTACCCTTCGCCAAAAGCTCTCGAAAATAGTCACGCTTTACTAACTCCATGGTAGTGTAATGATGGGTCGCTGGATCTGTAAGGTCACTAACGGCTGATGCAGAAGGATGTCTTATTCTTGTAACACTTCCTTTAGTGATACCGTCAAATCAAGCGGGCAATTAGGATAATAAAATATCGACGTTCTACGGTGTGAAAATTTGGCTTTGAAGTGTGAGAGAAGGTAGCACAATTTGTCACGTCGGCTTCTACTGACTTACCATTGAAATACCATGCCCAAACCTCAAGATGATTTCTTTTCCCTAAAGTGCTGAATCTGATTGTACTTTAGTTTTGTTGGTGTTTTCGTTCCTCTAGTAACGTATAGTTCATCCCTTACTGTACTGCAGGTTTTGAGTGAGAAATGGAAGACTTTGAAGGGTCGATGTCTGACTGCAGTGTGGATTCTAATGAGCTGCCACCAATGCCGCCATTAATTAGGATCAACAGGAATATATCCGAATATGGCACACTTTCTGCTCAGACATCTTCCGACTCACTTATCACTGGCGTTGATCAACGTATGCAGAATGCAGTAGCAAAGGCGTTGTCCGACTTAGATCCAGAGGACACGCTCTCTTTCCACAAAGAAGATACTTCCGAGGCACCGACTGTACCGCCTTTGGCGAGACGAACTAAAAAAGGAGGTAGTTCAGCAAGTTCTTTAGATCATTATGAAATTTGTATATCATCCCAAAGTAAAAGTGGACAAGTCTCGCACGATGAAAGGAAAGGCGCTCGCCCTGGAAAATCTTTTAAATTGGGATACGGAGACGACTCGCCTTCCAAGTACAGTGGTAATGCCGACCCGGAACTGCCTGGACAACCAGTGCTGATATCGACGGCGAATACATCTTTCTCCAGTTATCCGTTGGATCACAGTAGGCTCTCTGAAACGGGAAAAATGGAGATATCGGAAGAAGGGGGTGTAATCGACACGCAGGGAGTACCCGGACATGATATCAGACATCACCCCATTGGGTCTCAGAGTACCGCTATGGTTCCGGATCATGGAAAACGTTCTATTGATAAAGCGCTACACAAGTGTCGCGAGTGTCCCAGACAGTTCAAGAGCGCATTTCATCTTCGTCGCCATGAACGTGATCATACTGCAGAGCGATCATTCAAGTGTGATGTATGCACCAAATACTTCTTTCATTCATGGAGTCTAAAAGTACACAAACGTTTTCACACCGGAGAGAAGCCTTTTGCGTGCAAGGTTTGTCAAGCATCGTTCCAGACATCATCAGGTCGAAGTAAGCATGAACGTGTTCACACGGGGAAAAGGCCGTACAAGTGCGAGACATGTGAAGCATCGTTCAAGCAATCGTCACATCTTCGTGATCATGAACGCATGCACACAGGGGAGAGACCCTACAAGTGCGAGACATGTAAAGCATCGTTCAAGCAATCCACACATCTTCGTAATCATGAACGCATGCACACAGGGGAGAGACCCTACAAGTGCGAGACATGTGAGGCATCGTTCAAGCAATCCACACATCTTCGTGATCATGAACGTATTCATACTGGGGAGAGGTCTCACCAGTGCAAGGTATGTGGTGCGTCGTTTCGGTGGTTATCAACTCTACGTTCTCATGAACGCGGCACGCATTGAATTGTCCATAGAGGAACAAAGCATATAGATCGTATTCGACAGACCAAGAAGTCGGCAAGAACCAGAAGATTTACGTACAAGAAAAAGCTATTTTGTAAAATATTCAACTGGGTGTACCCTTGCCCAGACTCATAAAGAAACAAACTTCATACCTGCAATATGTGCAAACATCAGTCTCGTACTTAAAGTTACTGCATGGCCATGCGCTTCACATACAGGTGTGAAATCCAGCAATAATGTGGTTACTTTACCTGTAGAAACATTTAACCCACACGAACACATTCATAAGAATGATGATGATCGTTGTCTATTTTACTGAGTTGGTGTTAGCCTTGATTTTAAAAGTCCTGTCTCTGCCTTTAGCCGCAGGTCATTTATAACCAGTCTCGTTGCTTATAGAACTAATTATATATTCATTTTGTTTGTTTTTGTTTCCGTTTAATTGCTGTCAACAACATTGAACAAATCAGCAAGGACTGCAACAGTAGCCCAAGAGGCCCCAACAATTTCTCTTGTTCTGGGCACCTAACATTAGTGCACTCGACTTTCACGTGTCAATCGAAATCTTGACGTACAAATAGATAATCAAGAAAATGCAGTTGTGCACTCGAAGATTTCAGGCATTCATTGCAGTTATAAAATCAAGTATCGAAAAACATTGCTTTTGGTGCACAGCCACTGCCCTACGCAATCAAAAAAATGCATGATTCAATCGCTCATGCAACAGAAATATGAAGTTGGTCGAGAGTTGGATGTTAACGCAGATTCCACCTGTTCCTATGGTTCTGTATTTCCGTCTGAGGCAATTTTCCCAAAATCACCAACTCAGGAAGGGATGTAAGGGAGGTAAAATGTTTACGTGTCATTTTGTTTGTGAAATACACTCTATAGTATACTGATACATTGAAGGCTGGATAAGTTTTGTTTATGCTGGCGTAGTGCAGTAGGAAATGGACGTATAAAAAGCTGTTAGCTTGTTTGATGTTTTCTTTATTTGAATTCGCTAAAACCAAACGGACAGAACTGTCCAGTGAAAAGGGAGCGAATGATGAGCGTCAAAATCACTATGAATCAAAACATCTCGGGGTAAAGTGAGACAGACTATAAGGAGGGTTTGCACAATACTAGTACATAAAGAGGAGTACGAGTACAAAGACCAGGCAGGCACAGTGGGTTTTTCCAGCCGTGCTTCTACCCACAGTCAACTGGGAACTTGTGGCCAGGCACAAGGGGTACATATATGCAGCTAATGGGGTTGTTTTCGGCACTTGTGCCAGTGGTTGTGAGACTTATCCACTCACCCCAACCGTTAGGCGCTGCATCTGCCGCTAGGATTTATCGGGTGTTAGCGGCCGTGGTGAGTTCCCTTCGGGAACGGACACGATAATTTACTTTTTGTTAGGAGAACAAAGGCGCGGCAGAAGTCCAAGCAGGAATGCACTCAACTCAAAAACAGAGAGAGTGAGAGAGGGAGAAAGAGCAAGACAGAGAGAGAGAGAGAGAGAGAGAGAGAGAGAGAGAGAGAGAGAGAGAACGTGAGAGCGAGAGGGTTACACTTATAAAGTGTAACAAATGAGGGCTGAGACCCCTACAACAACAGGGTTTTACGTCGTAGTTTCACTTGGGGCTAGTTGTTTGGAGGGTGAAGCTCTTTGTGCTATATCAATGTTTTGACACTTTTTTCCAATTTCTGGCTAAATATTGTCAATTGTTGGATCTTCACTAATGAATCGCATCCGAGTGTTCACTTAAGAATCTGCGGGTTATCGGAGGTTTGTAAATTTCCTGTCGCTCCCAGAAAGCACTCTCTGGAGCAACGTCATTGTATGCTACGGTATCCATTGGTCCTTCCACATACCGGAGAATGTGCATAAGGATATGGCATAGTCCTGAATTTGCACTAAAGTCCGTGGACATGATGCAAATAGCAATACATATAATTTATGTTTGTTTCCTTCAACAGATATTTTCAGCAAGAAGACCTTTGGACCGAAAATGTACCCAATGAATGTGATATCCTCTGGAACCAATAGAAAATCGACAGAGAGTTGCGCGTTTACCTCAACGAAGACCCACCGGTTGTACCAAATATTCGCTACCAGGGCCAAGATGCGTACAGTCGTTCAACAGAGGTTGTTACTAGTCTGGCAACTTGGTATGTATCTACTGCTGGTGTAGCTACGGTGACCATAAACCAGGAAGCTGTAGCATTATCGATAGACGTTCGTGGTAGGTTGAACGCACAATGCTTTCCATCTTCTATTAAGCCTAACAAGTAGCCTGTTGTCACATTGATATCAACGATGTCAGTCACGGCTCAAGCAAAGCCATTTTGAAGCCCCGGCCATAGGGAAGTGGATGTAACTACGTCTGCTACACCATCTGAAATGTAAGACGGGGAGATCGCGTTTTTTTGGTTAAGGCTATTATGAGCAGCTTGCGTTACCTGTGCAAGCATCTCTGTGATTTATAATGAACGTCTTAATTCCAAACTCAGCGTCATACACAGGAGTTTCTGCTGTAAGGATACGTGAGACATGGGAGCAACCTGGCGCGTTTGACATGTCGGTTGAACGCAGTCGTCAGCTCAGACAACATTCGAACTCGTCTAAGGTTATAGATCAAAATCATAAGCAGTCTCAGTACTAGCGTATAACGTTCCACAGTTGTCAGTTTTGCCAGAAAGAGTTCAGAACAGCTTCTCGCATTCGAGTGAATTCATACTGGTAATCGACCATTTCAGTGTGAGAAATGCGGCAAGTGATTCCATTGGTTGGAACATCTACATGGTCATTATCGCATACATAAAGAGAAGAAGAAACAGTGTACATGTAAGGTGTGTGAAATGTCTCACAGGTTATTACCAACTTTGCGCTCACATATACTTTTATTTTACTTTTTTATTTTTTACAAAGACCACTTAAACGCCAAACATGAGATGCAGCTAGGGGAAGCACGCACAACCTGAATCGTGGCAGTGGTGGCGAGGTTTAGGGAGCTCCGCCGACCTAGGGTCTCGACTTCATAGGCACCTAGACGCAATACTTACTGGGGAGAGTCCGTATTTTCATAAGGTTTGCGAGAACTCTTTCACGCACTCATCAAATCTCAGAAGGCATTGTAGCGTGGCATGTAAAGGCAGAAAGTGAAGAAAAAAGGAAAGCTTCTGAACAAGGTAAGTTCGAACCCCACATGCAAAGAATACTAGTCTTATTACTGTAGATGTTTTAACACACCAAGCTACAGTGACACATGTACTAGACTACAATGATTATTTATTAGTATTACGCACACACTCATGGCCAAGGCCAATCAAGGAGGAGGTGAGGGCGATTATAGCCAGCTATGGCAAAAAAACTAAAACTAAACATAACGTCAATCAATAGAACTAGCCGAACCGACATTTGTAAGAAAGGGTTTGCTCCCCACACCGGAGCTCGCGCTATTCCGCCGACTTTACTTGACACTTGACTGACTCACGACACACGAGAAGTCCATCGAACCTTCGACTCGGCAAACCTGCAAGAAAGCACCACTCCCTGCTCAATACACAGTGTTTCGGGGAATTCACCCCTCATCAGTTGAGCTTGAGTAGGCTGAGGAAGATTGTGCCTGAAGAGCACCACTTATATAGTGCTCTCCAGGCACAAACATCACCAGGGATACAAACTTACAGAGACGCTCCGTTTCCAGCGCGACAAACACCTCGTGAACACCAGATAGCAGCGTGAGTCAGTGTCGCTCCTGGACGGTGAGACAGACGTCGAGGTCCCTCAGTCATTCGCAACGCTGTCACCTCCAAACCAAATAGTCGCAAGCCCGCGCTGGGCACAACAGTACGAAGTAGTGGTTGCGACTTCGTCAAGTGTCAAGTAAAGTCGGCGGAATAGCGCGAGCTCCGGTGTGGGGAGCAAACCCTTTCTTACAAATTATCGCCGAAGTCGCAACCACTACTTTGAACCGACATTTGTGTACTTTATTCATGCAATGTAAAAACGGTGGAGACGATGTGCAATAAAACGATGAAAATATGAAGAAATGGTGTAGGGAAAATATGGATTAAAACAAGTTTTCGTACAACACTCATCAGGAATCGTCGTTGTACTAAAGGACACTGAAACAAAAATTGAACTATTATAGAAAATCTAAGTGAGAGAAATAACACTAAGAGCAACAGCAGTGAAATTTACAAGTGTGAATTTTAACAATCGAAGCGAGAAATGAACAAAGGAGAAAGGAAGAAAAGACAACGTGATAACACATAACAGCAGTACATTACACCTAGAACATTAACGGCCGAGCTTGGCCGCACTAAACACGACACGTTACTTGAACAATTTCAACCCAATTATATACACCTATCTGCATTTTTAAGCCCAGCTGCCTTCGTGATCTCGGCACCTATGCCCGCGACAGAAAACAATGGAGTAACATCTGCTCAGCCATTTAGTCTAGTACTGCTCTTCTTAAATTTGACCTTCATTACAAGACTCTTCTTTTCTTTTTCATTTCGTTCTCCCACTCTCACACACACATGCTCACAGTTAATTCTGCCGTCGTGAGTCCCATTCGGGACGGATACGAGAATAATAATAATAATAACCCCTTAAACCAGTTAAAATAATAATAATAATAATAATAATAATAATAAGTGCCTGCCCAGTTCTGGCTCGGACCAGTTACATTGAACGACATAACCGGATAGTAAAGTATGTGCACTTCGAAATGTGTAAAGCACGAGATCTACCTACTGGTGCTTCACGATTCGACCACCAGCTCAAGGCATTGGTCAAGAGTAATCAGTATCGCCTCTATTGGGAGTATTCGGTCCCAACTGACCTGAAACTATCAGCAAACAGGCCCGATCTGCTCCTTGTTGATGACAAGGAGCGCATCGCCTACATTATAGACATCAGCGTTCCTGGTGAGAACAACATCAATAAGAAAATGGCTGAAAAGCGCTCGAAATATTATGATTTGAAGCGGGAGATTTCGAGGATTTGGTCCCTCAACCAGGTTGACGTGGTCCCTGTGGTTGTCGGTGCCCTGGGAGGCTTGGTGGGGGAGACTCCTCAATGCCTTCGGACTGTGCAGGGAGGAGACCTGGCTATTGTGCAACAGGAGGCTATACAAGGTTCGATTAAAATACTGAGAACTATCCTTAACATGTAGATGCACCTCTGCTGCGTTTGCATGTTCAATAGCTAAGAGACTTGAATAACGACTGATAAAGACTGATATTTCCTTTGTTACTACTCCCTTCATTGGTTGATGTATTTTGCCTGTCGCTGCAAATTCTTTATTATTGTTTTGATGTTGGAGTTCGGATTGAGTTTCTTTCCTTTCTTCCTCTTCCTTCAACTAGTTCTTGTCCCTTTGGTTTTTAGGTTTTATTTATTTATTTATTTTTGTTTTTGTTTTTCACTTTCTTTTTGCTGTCCCACCCATGGAAATATTTCCCGGTGGGTCTGGCTTATCGCCTTCGAAAGAAGTGAATAAAGGAGAAATAATAATAATATACTATCTTTCTGTACACACAAATTAGACTTATAAGGTTGGTTCACATAAGCAAAATCGGCGCCGCAAGACATCGGCGGTGAGCCATCTCCCGATCCATTGCGCCTACGGTTCGAGTACCAAATCTACTACAAAGTAGTACAGAATGTGCCAAAATGCTACGACAGGTTTGCCAATTGAAGCTTGAATTCTTTGTTTTTTCAGTAGTTCAAGGTCTTTCGGTGATGGCCACTCGGTGCTACCTTTTACTGGAGATCATGAAACTACTTCTACACATTTTATTGCAGTCTAGTAAGCGATTGTTATTATTATTATTATTATTATTCATTCATATTTTACTAGGGCAGTCCCCACAGACCTATGGTCTTCTTACAGGGTGCCCTAGCCACGTGAAGATAGCGGAGCGAAATGCAGCAGGTAGGGATATGGTGCGAATCGCGGCAGGGAGGGCGTTCCATCGGTCAGCTCCAAGATAAGATACAGAGTGATAGCCAAAATGCAATCTGGCATGGGGCAGTACCAGGCCGAGCAATTCCTGAGAACGGGTAATTCTAGCAGTGCGGGATGATGAGACAGCACGAGGAGTGAAAAGTCGTTGTTGTTTGTGTCGAAATTATGCTTGCAAACGTTGATGAAGTCACAAGAACTTGCCAATGTATCCATTATAATTTTATATTTGTTTCAATTGTATTTGTCTCATAAGTTGCACAATGGTCTAGCAGATCATCCGAGAAGGACGGGCTGGTATCCTGACTTATTTGCCGCCTTGAAGCGACTACAAGAATGGCGAACGGACCTCCTCTCTAGCTTCAATTTAGGAAAATTTAGGACAAGTAAGGGTTTGATATTTTGACAAAGTCTGGCTCCCGGCAGCCGGCGATCACCGGCGCGAACGGTTCACAAACCACTTTTGGTCAAAATCGTACGGGATCGGCGCCGGGGCAGATCGCAAGAGTTGGGCACTGTCCAACTTTGCCGGCGGTCCATTGCGAAATTTTACCGTATGATTTTGTTACGACTGCACTGGTTCACACAATCGCAATGCGCCGGGAGAGGTTGCAAGAAGCCCACCGCCTGTGACTCCCGGCGCGTACCGGCGATATGTGAACCAACCCATACAGACGCTGATAGATAGCTTCCAACACTTTTAACTGTAGTCCATAACCATGACGACCACGGCACAATACAGTGAACGAAGAGTCGGAATACGAATTGCAACAATCAGGACTAGCTAGCAGATGATTGTACACTGAAGACTTGCTACCACGAAACCGAAAAAATGTTCTAGGTGTAATGCACTGCTGTTATGTGTTATCACGTTGTCTTTCCTTCCTTTCTCCTTTGTTCATTTCTCGCCTTGATTGTTAAAATTCACACTTGTAAATTTCACTGCTGTTGCTCTTAGTGTTATTTCTCTAACTTAGATTTTCTATAATAGTTCAATTTTTGTTTCAGTGTCCTTTAGTACAACGACGATCCTGATGAGTGTTGTACGAAAACTTGTTTGAATCCATATTTTTTCCCTACACCATTTCTTCATATTTTCATCGTTTTATTGCACATCGGCTCCACCGTTTTTACATTGCATGAATAAAGTACACAAATATCGGTTCAGCTAGTTCTATTGATTGCGGTTATCAAATTATTGTCTCCTCGCCGTGTGTTCAAACTAAACATAAAAAGAATATAGAGAAACAAGTGCAAATCAGAACAACAACAATAAAAGAAGAGATTGGGCTGCAAATTAAGTTGCATTATTAGGTTTACGGGAAATGGTCCGAGAGATCATGAACAAAGGCAGACATGGTTTCACATGATTGCATTTTTTGCGGAAGCGAGTCCCAGAGACAATAGCTAATGAAAACAGGCGAGCGACTCATTGAGTTATTTCTTGAAATAGGGAATCTTAGTTTATTACGACTTGACGAAGAGGAGTTAAAACAGTTAAGCGCATTTTGAATATGCTTTGGGGACTTCAGCAGTTTAATCTGATGGATAAATCTACAGCAGAGTAGGCCTTGGCGGATAATGCCGGCAGGAAAATTGGCAGAATTCGGTACTTTTTTTCATAAGTTTCATGCATGTTTGGTATGTGGATAAAGAAATGGAGCAGAATTCGAGGAATTGCTCGCCATAAGGTTTGTATGGTTCTGCCAATTTCGGTGCAAAAAAAGCAGAATCTGCCACCTTTTCGAGCATTATCCGCCAAGGCCTACTGAGCAGAGTCTGTTAATTCTGGTTTGTAAAGGACAGCCTGAAGTGTGTCCTTTTTATGAGTATTATCGCATTTTGTTTCAGAGGAAACTGTTTACACATCCTTGTATGAATGGATCAAGGAATAATAACAATTGGGAAACTTATCCATCTAGGGCTATGTACAGACGCCTAACATCTACATGAGACACTACGGCCATCCTATAGGTATAGCCGGAGGATGTTGGTGAAAATTCCAAAATTATGCCTTTCAGGATGCCTACAATAACGTAGTCTTTATGCTCGTTAACTGAAATTAAGCTTGCAAACTGTGGCCACGCACAGGAACTTCTAGCAGACAATCGTGTCTTTACACACGCTCAAACAATGCCCCACCGTTAGGCGCTGCATCTGCCGCTAGGATTTATCGGGTGTTAGCGGCCGTCGGGAGTTCCCTTCGGGAACGGACACGATAATTTTCTTTTTTTCTTTTTTTTTAAACATTGCTCTAAGGCATGATACAGCAATGGGCATATTCGTACTAATAACCGTGGAGGCTCATCTAGCAAGGATGTATAAATACAACAGAGCATAGGAATGGACCTGCAACACAACAAGGTACGGTCAACACTGTCATCATGTCTTTAATGAATTACACAGTGGACTACACCAAGTGTATGACAGGCTTGAACTACATGTACAGGACTGTTTGTGTAAATACATGTAGGAAGCAGGCTACTTGATGTACGCTGTTCAATCGCTGAATCAGCCGGGATTGTATTGCAGCATCACGGAAAGCTAGTTTTATCCTCCAGACTGTAGGGCGAAAGCGTAAAACAGTAAAATCCCAAATATAATAACAAATCTTCAAGTAAACATGAAGAGAACCAACCTAAAGATGCGCCTTTTCTATGGACATGAATATAACGGGACAGACTCACGACTGCGATCCAGAGCACTCGAGAAGTCGTTCAAACCGTCCAATCTACAAATATGAAAGAAAGCACCACTTCCTGCTCAATGCACAGTAATTTGAAAGAGGTCACAAATTATCGGCTTTCGTAAGCTAATAAAAGCTATGCTCCGAGAGCCATGCACGATACACGCTATCCGAGATACACGCTATCCGAGACTAACAGTGGCACTCCGTGTCCAGCGCGACAAACACACAGCGAACTTCCAGCAGCAGTGTGAGTCGTTGTGGCTCATGGAGGTGCAGAAAAATGGCGAGGGCTGTTGGCCGTTCACAACGTTGCCTACAACCCATCAACATCGCGAGGCTGCATTGAAGACAAACGTGTGAAGAAGTGGGTGATGCACTCCTGCGAAACTCGAGAAGTCAGATTTCGCTACCAAGGTAGGAGCTAGCTTGCTCCCACGTAGGGTTCGACACGCAAGTCGGAACACACTGTGTGAATGTAGTGAGTTCAATTGCTTTTACCGCATTAGAATTGTACCTCCATATCTGTGCGAAGAATATACTGAGGGTGGGAAGGGGAAGTGGAAACCTAGGTAATGTAGTACCAAACTAAAATCACTTTGTGCGGAGTAGGCTTGGGTTGCCCTGTGCCAGAAGCTCGAGACAATAGTCACGCTTTACTAACTCCATGGTAATGTAATGATGGGTCGCTTGATCTGTAAGGTCACTAACGGCTGATACAGAAGGATATCTTATACTTGTAACACTTCGTTTAGTGATACCATCAGATAAAGTGGACGATTGGGATAACACAATCTCGACACTCTACGGTGTGGTATTTTAGCTTTGAAGTGTGAGAGAAGGTCGCACAATTTGTCACGTCGGCGTCTACTGACTTACCATTGAAATACCATGCGCAACCAGCAAGATGATTGAATTTCCCTAAAGTGCTGAATCTGTCTTGTACTTTAGTTTTGTTGATATTCTCATTCCGCCAGTAACGTGTAGTTCATGCACTGCAGTTTTTGAGTGAGAAATGGAAGATGGCGAGGAGTCCATGTCCGACTGCAGTGTTGATTCTGATGAGCTGCCCCCAATGCCACCATTAATCAGGATAAACAGGAGTTTATCAGTTAGTGGGAATTCATCCGAATATTGCACAATTTCTGCTCAGACCTCTTCCGACTCACCTATCACAGGCGTTGATCAGCGTATGCAGAATACGGTAATAAAGGTATTGCCCGACTTAGATCCAGAGGACACGCTCTCTTTCAACAAAGAATATACATCCGGGTCACCGCCTGTCCCGCCCTTGACAAGACCAACGAAGAAAGGAAGTAGTTCAGCAAATTCTTTAGATCATTATGGATTGTGTGTATCATCCCCTAGTAAACGTGGACAAGTGTGGCACGATGAAAAGAAGGACGCTCGGCCTGGACAATCTTTTGAATTGAGATATGGAGACGACTCGCCTTCCAAGTACAGTGGTAATGCCGAGCCGGAACTACCTGGACAACCAGTGATGAAATCTACAGCGAGTACATCTTTCTCTAGTTATCCGTTTGATCACGGTAGACATTCTGAAACGGGAAAAAGGGAAACATCGGAAGAAGGGGATGCAGCCGACATACAAGGAGTTCGCGGATACGATATCAGACATCAGCCAGTCAGGTCTCGGTGTGCCGCTATGGTTTCCGATCAAGGAAAACGTTCTATGTGTAAAACGCTACACAAGTGTCGCGAGTGTCCCAGACAGTTCAAGAAAGCATCCAATCTTCGTCGCCATGAACGTGTTCATACTGGAGAGCGACCATTCAAGTGTGATGTATGCAGCAAGTCCTTCTCTCAATCTGGCAATTTACTAATGCACAAACGTATTCATACCGGAGAGAAACCTTTCATATGCAAGGTTTGTAAAGCGTCGTTCACGAGGTCGTCAGCACTACGTGTTCATGAACGTATGCACACAGGGGAGAGGCCTTACAAGTGCGACACATGTGACGCAGCATTCAGGTCAACTTCCAACCTGCATGTTCATGAACGTATTCACACAGGGGAGAGGCCTTACCAGTGCGACACATGTGACGCAGCATTCACGGACTCGTCAACACTACGTGTTCATAAACGTATTCACACGGGGGAGAGGCCTTACAAGTGCGACACATGTGACGCAGCGTTCAGGTCAACTTCCAACCTGCATGTTCATGAACGTAGTCACACACGTTAGAGGCCGTACAAGTGTGAAACATGTGAATCATCGTTCATGCACTCAACACATCTTCGTATACATTAACGTATTCATAGTGGAGAGGAATCTCCGAAATGCAAGATGTGGGGAGCGTCGTTCACGTGGTCATCAGCTCTACATGCTCATGAAATAATGCACACACTGCATCGTTTATAGAGTAGTCAGTCATGTAGATCGGATTTCAACAAACAAAGAAATCGATCAGAACCAGAACTTCAACATGCAATGTATAATACAACTGGGTGTGCTTGAGCTCGGACGCATAGAGAAGACAAACTTCAAACATGCAATATACACACAAACCGGTCTCGTACTCACATTTGCTGTCTAGACATGCACATACACATACAGGTCTGAAATCCACAAGTCCAACAGTTAGGTGCAGAACTCACCTTTAGAAAATTTACAAAACACGAATAAAGTCAACCAGAACAGTGACGGCAAATCGTTGTTACAAATTTTGCTTTTAAGACTTTGTTAGCCTTGAATTTAATAGTCAAGAGCATGGCTATACACACGTATGTGCAGCTCATCTTAAAACCAGTCTTGATGCAAATAGAACAACTATACTTACATTTTATACACCTGGCTTTTTGGTACTGTAGCCTCAGCATATATATAGTGTATCGCTGTGAAGTGCGACCATGAATCGCTTTTTTCCACAATTCACATTGTAAAGTTCCAATAGTCCTGCAATTTTGTTCGTTTGTCGGTAACTGGAACTAAAAATGCAATATCCTCAGCGATCTGTTGTAAACACCAGTGTAGAGTCACGTATGTACCACACATTCATCAATTACATTTCACGGTCTGTATCTTAAAAATCATTCCACTATCGTCATATCTTCGTGGTCCGAAGCATTTTCGCACAGGGGGCTGCTTAATGAGTGCAAAACATATCAATATCGTGAAAACCTTCCGTTGTAATAGCTCTCCCATCAACTTGTTATTACAATGCAGACTGGGGTAAACTCTACAGTGACCGATAGAAACTTGGAAACTCAAACCAAACCTAGCCAAAATGGAGGCTATGTTTGGCTCCCCCTCCCCAGCCCGAAGGAAGACCCTATTTGGTAAAAGTGGTATGTGCCCCTTCCATGTGTTAGTATAATCTTGCTCTAGGTATACACACACACCCTCTAGTTGTCATCCTCTAGCCAATGATGCCAACCCTTCCCGTGCATCATCATCTTTTTACGTAAATTCCTCTATGATCCCTTTCTAGTAAATTGTCCTTCCAAATTAAAACAGTTGACAAAATAAACGAGTTCACGATTCAGCTCTGATTCTCTCCCCTGCAAAACTTTTGGTTCACGTTATTGCATGTTTCTTGTTATTGTTTTGCTCCGGCAAGCTTTCTTCTCTTATGACATCATACGGTCCAAGTCATTACTTTCACTGCAACATGTTGGGAATCCAGATGCGTCTCTGCACACTCGCAGGATTGTCAATTGCATGGTGGGACATGCCATTTTGGAAAAATTTGCTTTTGTCAGTAAGACACGAAACGTATCACCCTTTGCTCCAGTTCATCAGTACCTCCATAACACCACGTTGCCATGTTTAGGACTGCATAGCGCCTGGTGTGGCATTCACTAGCTTTAGTGTAAATCATTGAGCATCATCGTAGTATTAGCATGAAACTGTCGCTGGAAACTCATATCCATGTTCACAGTAAGTGAATGTCCCACGATCACGAGGTACAATATCACTGCGAGACTGTCGTAACACCACTATCTTACTATCTTACCAAACATTTTGATAATTTCTCCTGTTTCTCTGAAGATGTTACACCATCAAAAATGGGGTGGTACTTCGTCAACACTGCACTATTTGTTTTTACTTCAATATTGCTAAGATTGATCCGGAGATTGTTCTGAAGAAAATAGCCGATTAATGGTGTAAAATTCACACTTTCCGCGTAACAGTCTCAATGACCTGGTTTAATCTGTTGGAATTTTGAGACCGTGCTCAATATGTTCTGACTTGAGTGTCGACGTTTGTATTTTCAAGTTAGTGTGCTCAGCAGCCAGTAAGTCTCTTTAGAATTGTTTTCCTCTTCGGATTCGACAATACGAACAGGGTGACATGGAAGACCCGGAAAACAGCGGTATTGATGGCGGCGACCAGACAGCAGGAAGGGAGCAGGCAGAGTCCGAAGAGCAGTTATTTTCTTACCTGAATTTCTTAGTGCAAGGTGGGTACATTCTATGAAAGGTATTGAAAACTAATAAATATTTCTGTTTTGCAAGTCTAAGGAGTAAAGCATTATTGCACTATTTGCTTGTGATAATCATCAGAAACTACCGCACCAAGTCCATGAATACACATAACCTTATTAGCCCCGGGATTTGAACACAGAGGATAGGCCAATTTAATCACGGATGCAAAAGAAAGGACAACATTCTACGAGTTATGTCGAAATTTCCACCAACACTAGCAGATAATACTATACTGTACATAAATGTTTATCTGTCGTCTATTTTGTAGTAAAACAAAATGTTCAATGGTCTCAATAGCTTTATCATTCATTACAATCTTCCGAATTTATGTTTGGTAATCATTTGAAAACTGATGAGGGAAACGAGCCAAATGAGGACACGGCCCTAAGCAGCAGGATAGGTACTGTTCCATGATTGCAACGGCGCTAGCGTTATGGCATATTCTTCAAATGTCACCCAACAAAAATGAACGGAGAGCGAGGAATGTATTCGTTTTTGGAGCTCGAGGGAAGCTTTAAGGAAAGCGATTGCCTACATGCATCAGGTATTCAATTATGCACGTCCAACTACATCTAATTGTTGCTGCCTGAATTGCAGTGATGCAACAAGATCTGATTTGAGCAACCACGTGTCACGGTTCTTTACCTTTTGGTCCTGTGTTGCCTTATTGTTAGGGGACTCGCAGGGCGCACCACGAAAACCCGATATTTTGGATGAAATTATCTCCGGAAGTCCAGTGCCTTTTGATGCCATCGAAACGCACTCTACCTATTTCGCGCCCAATGCTCGACAGAAAGAGGAAGTCCACTGGCCCAGGCAAGAGTGCAATCCACAGGCTACCGAGCCGGTGCAGTCAACCAGTACGCTACAAGGACAATTCGCTACACATGAGCAGGCAAGTGTATCTGAATAGGCAATTGAAGAACACAGGAAATATCCAAGAAGCTTAGCCTAGTTGAATTTAGTCTACCCTTAACGTGTTTTGCCACTTTCAGGCATGTGGAGCAATGTTTGCAAGCTGAAATCTTTCTATACTTCAGTTAACCGGTTAATTCCACATCGCAGAAACCAAATCATTATTGTAAGAAAGTCAATTCGCACATGAACCTAAGCAGAGATTTCAATGATACTGACAAAACACAGAAAAAACGTAATATCATAGCATCCGTCTAGAGATGGGTCCCCCGCTATCCGGACAGTTCGTGACCTTGGACGACGTGGACACTATGTGATGGCAGTATGTATTTTCTACAATGAGGTTCTAAACACATGCAACTCCATTTAATGGGGGGAAACCCTCTTCACAAGGCAAAGTCAAATGAACTAGAGTTTATATTTATATAGGAAGAGGGTTTCCCTTTCACACCGCCCCCCCCCCCCCCCGTTATTCCGAAGTGTTATACATCAATTAACTATCGGCTTCAATGAACAAACTGCGAGGAGACAACAATATTACCATCGCAATAATGAGAACAAGCTGAACGTACATGTGGCTATTTATTGAAACTGTGTCATTCGATTGAAACTTGTGAAATAACAATGTGAAAAGAATTATCAATAGTGAAAATGAAGAACAATTCGAGCATGTTTTCCAACGCCACTCAACAAGAAACAATGTTGTACCAATGGACAATGAAACTCGTACTAGTATGTACTGTAATTGCAAAACCAAGAAGAGACACATAGTGACATCGGGGAATGATAAATGTCTGATAATAGAGAGGTTAAGATGCACGCTATTTCCGACGTGACGCGAAAGTTCAGCTCGCGTTATTTGCTCGCACGTCGAAAAATCAACGCGAGCGACCTGCTGCTCACGTCGAAATTTGGAGTTTTACGCCAAATTTGCCGTGAAATTGCGCGTCACGTCGGAAATAACGTGCATCTTAACCTCTCTAATAACAAGGGTTGTGAGAAAACGCACACTTCCACATTGTGTCCAAATGCAGATTCCAGAGTTGGGTGCTATAGGAGGAGTATATACCTCGCCACGCATTTCTGCAAAGCCAATGGCATCTGTTCGTGCAGTTGGACGTTTCCCTGGTCTAGGAGTTCCTTCGGAAACTTCATTCGCAAAAGAACCTGCCCAGGAAGCGTTGTAAGTCGGAACAAAATTGTTGATCTGTCAATTGTTTTAATTAGAAACACATTTCTCAAAATGCGAAGACTCCACTGTAGCCATCCACTGTATCCATACATCTTCACAACACTCTCCAAACGGTCTCTAGGCTACACCAATCACTAAAAGAAAAAGAGATATTAAAATTGAAGAATGGAAAAGGACATATGGATACGAGTTAAGAGTAACTCTCCATCACTGTAACTGGATACTATATACAGTCAGAAAGTGCAATAACTAGGCACAAAACTGACAAGAGTACTGAGACATTCGACGTTGGGACGTCCGTTGGGACTGTGGCTTTTGCTAGTTTTCGTTGCGCTTGCCTTCCCCTCTTTGGTCTTTTCATAACCTTGAACCTTCCAAGTTGGAAGGCTGTCGGTTAGCGCTACGGAGATGTGTTGAAGCTAGGTGTCAGGACGTCGAATGTCTCAGTACTCTTGTCAGTTTTGTGCCTAGTTATTGCACTTTCTGACTGTATATAGTATCCAGTTACAGTGATGGAGAGTTACTCTTAACTCGTATCCATAATTATGTCCTTTTCCTTTCTACATTTATTTATGGCTCAACATCCGAGTTTCAGATATTAAAATCATTCGAATTTTCGGGCAAGGCCCATGTTCAGGACACACTGTACAGTATTCTGATATCGTGAATGTTTTTGTATGTTGTTTCGAAAGGGTCTGGTTTTAGGAGTAAATGTGACGAAATACATTGTCATTCATGAGAAGGGCTGTAGGATATTGATGTATTTAAGGCTTTTAGGTTTCGCTTTGGTGCTAGATGTTAGGTCGTCGAGGGTCTGTCTACCATGTCAACGATGTGCCTAATTGTTGCACTTCTAGGCTAACCACGTTCAGTACACCTAGAACGGCCAACCAGTGTCATTTGACACCTGCATACATTTCCATATCTAAGACCTGTATTATATTTTTCCTTTCAGTACAGGCCATCACTAGCAGGATTTAGGATATAGAAAACAAATTAGGATTCACTCAGACACCATTTTGTGGCTATAGGCAAACAAAGTACAGTGGAGTACAATGCAGCTGATGGGGTCGTTCTTGCCACTTGTGCCAGTGGTTGTGAGACTTACCCACTCACCCCCACCGTTAGGCGCTGCATCTGCCGCTAGGGTTTACCGGGTGTTAGCGGCCGTCGTGAGTTCCCTTCGGGAACGGACACGATAATTTACTTTTTTTTAACATAGTACAATGTAAGCGTATCGGCAATTGTGAAGGATGAACTCAAATACTGGCAAAACTTCAACTACTTGCATAGGAATTTCTTATAATCACATAGTTACAATAACAGGCTACGTGTAAACGTCACTTGACACACGAGGAACTGCTTTTTCGGAATATGTGATTTTGGCATACCGGTATTCGGATTACTCGATCGTCAGGATGAATGACACACAGTAACAAG